GTATTGAATATACACGCGAGGTAAAATCGGTGGATGGGGATTCGATCCTGTTCTCCACCACCAACATCTGCTGAGAGTGTGCCGAGGATCAAAGACAAGTCTGACAGGTGCTTTCTTCTTCCATCGCTGAGCATGCCCGATTCCCAAGCACTTGCTTCGATGGATGGAGAAAAGAAAGAACCGAGCTTGTCGTCATATCCCTCGGCTGTGAGCCCACATACGAGCTCGTCGCCGGCCGACTCAATCTGACCTTCCCCCCGTTACTGGTGACCACCGTACCCACCGCCGCCAACCACTCAGTGGACAAATCGTGGTGTGACTCCTTGTGTGTTTCGACGTCTACTGCCTAGAATAGGAAATTCAGAAGGCAATTTTCAGATACCATTGGCGTGTGTGACAGTACATCTCTGGAATACCTCAATGGAACAAAAATCAGCCTTGAGTTGGTTCACAGGATGTGGGTTGAATGTCTTGTTTTTCTAAAGACTTGGATACCGAATCCTCGAAATATGGTATTTATCTTTCGCAAATCAAGACCCTAAAACCTGTATCTACCGAGTAAATTAGCCCAATAGAGGATTTAAACATATCCTCACCTTCACCCTACCCCAGCTAGTGTTCTGCTTGCGATGTTCTTGAAATGCATCGTAAGGAGCAGCCCTATGCTTGAGAAGCGGGGTTAAGCCTTCAGACACAGGGTGAATGTGGATGAATGTCTACGGAGAAGAAGAACCGGGATATATAGATATATAGATATACATTGTGCCATATGCGTGTAGTCACACGTTGGACGGGAGAGTCTGCCTCATCTGGGATGGCTTATGAGCTTTTATAAACTGGACTCGTCTACAACCACCTGATTACACTGTTAACGACAATTAATTGTTCATCATCAGTTTCAGTCCATAGGCACAAAAGCTGCCCACATTGCTATCATGTGAATGGATGCTGGTGAAGGTCTGGCATGATATAGGCGGTTGGCGGACTTGGACTTGAAGGGGGGGGGGGGCTATGCTTCGACGAACATGAGATGAATTAGAGGTTGTGATAGACCGCCCAGAAAGTAAATCTATATAGCCGCTACGATGTGAGCGTTGGGGCCATCGCAGGATGAGCAAGCTACGGATAGGTGAAAGTGGCTGTTAGTGAGAGCCTGGTTCCGTTGGTTCCAATATCTATACATATGTCAATGTCTTGTTATAGAGTCGAGTAGAGATGTCTAAACAAGGTATACCAATGAAGAAAAGGAAAATATACTCATCTTTTCACGTTTCATTTTGCATAATCATCAGGTAGTTATGACAAAGGTAGACGAGAGTACTGAGTGTATACCTTCAAATATCTCATATAGATTCCTAGTTTTGACGAGATGAGCCGCTCAAGTGATTGACTGATCAACTAAACTTCAAAGGAATCGTATAGTTCGCCAGCTGTCTGAAACAAAGTCCCTAGGAAAGGAAATGATCGCATGGAATCTTCCACAAGTGCTTCTGGATGACGAAGCTCAGTCGGTCCATAGAAAATGCGAAGCCGTGGTTTCATGGTCTGGTAAAATGGCTTACGACTTGCTTTTCTTTCGGCCGAAGAAGCACGTCAACCTCATTTCCGTGATCTAGGGAAGAGGACATGAAGTCATCTTCGATAGAAGACGGTGTAGGTCAATTCGTACTTGGATCCCGACCTGTTCCACAGGGTAAACGGCATTTGAATAATACTTCGATAGAAGAGCAACGAGACGTCGCAGATTTGTCAACAGAATCCATTATAGAAAGACGCCATATCAAAGTAAGCCGTCCAATTGCAATGTGCAGAAACTTCTTCAATGATGAATGCTCATCTCAAATCCACATTCAGCGCCGTAGCAACAAGAATAGATTTGTTATTACGGTGCCTTAATTCAGCTGGCAGCTGAACAAGCTCTCAATAAAGCGGGAAGGAAGCTCTTGACGATTATGAGTACCAGTGAAAGCTTTTCTGCAGAGACAACCGACACGATCGAACGGTGCCTTGGCTGGCTCCTTGATCATGACCTGATTCTGGCAGGTTTATTTCGTTCGATAGCTGAGAGCAAGCAAGGTTCTCACATCTCTCGTACCTACAATTCATATTGTTTTGGGTAGATTCCCCGTTGTATATCTTCCACTGGTCACGAGACGGTGGATGAAGCACTCTCTTGAGGGAGCCAAGACGTGATATGGTGTCTATCTGTTACATTTGTCCGTCTGCAACTTCAATCTGCAATCTGCTTACTGAAAGTTGGCTTGAAATACGCACCGTAATGATCTGTCATTACATTTGCGAGAGTTTCTTGCTAGGTGCTCTGGAACTACCTTGTCTATACTCCGCCAATGTACTCTGTCATTCTGGTTTTCTGCTCGCTTGATCATCCTTGTCTCAACCTCAACGAAGGGTCATCCTCTTGTGTTGCGATATGAGGGCCGAAAAGAGGTCATTGGAAGGCATCAAGGGTCACGACAACGGGCCTTCCACTGACATATGAGTCTTACACTCCGCGGGGGAATCGCGGGCTATCCCCACAACTTCCCCCGTCAACATACATAACGTACACAGGCCAATACCGGATTTTTGAGCTTCGTATCGGCCGAAAGCCTTCCCACGCTGACGCGTACACCAACATCTAGAGACTCAAAAAAGACATGAAGGATGTTTACTAGTACAGAATAGACGGCTCGCGGAGACCGTCTCCCTTCTCTGAAGGGCATAGGCCACAACGTCTGAGAATGTACGAACTCCAGTTGTGAGGATAACAGTAGAGGTGGTCTCATGGATCACCCGTTGAACAGTGCCGTTGAAATTCGAATGTGTCTTTCCGACTCGTCTTCGGTGATACTAAGATCGACTAACCTGCTTACTCGGAAGAGGGGAGGGTTTGCGTGCGTCAGAGGCCAACTTGAGCTGTGCTCTAAGGGAACGAGTAGCTACTCGCCCAAGACATCTGTAGTGCGGTTCTGTAGCGTAACGGTAGTCAATATGAATGTTAGAGGTAGTTTCTTCCCCATCCTGGGTCCGGGTATTTAACGTTGGATCTAATCTCCTCCTTACGATCTCTGCTGCCAAGAAGGTATGAGAGGAAGAAACGTATTCACCCTCAAGTCATCATAAGCTACTGCAGTGTGTACGTGAGAGAGAGCTTTGGGGCAAGTACTACCTAATTAATCGGTAGTCAACCAACGTGGTGAAAGCACCGCCTTGTGCCGCTACAACGTTGACACTGAAGAGAGACACTAAGAACATACTGCGGCAGATCTTGGATGGGAAGACGCTTAACATACCTAGTAGCAAGTCCAGCGAGCGTCAATGTCATTCTCGCCAGTACTGCACTATTCATCTAGTCTTGGTTTGACCGCTTCGAAAAGCCAGACCATTTCCACTTCATGCACTGCTCGAATCATGGTCAGCTGACCAAGTGCACCGCACAAGTTCGTTGCAGATAACGGCATCGAGCTCATGTCCGGCGCATATTTTGTGGAGACCACGGCCGCAAAAAGACGGCCAACAGATCCTACTTCGCCATGAGCTCCAATAGCTGTCCGACCTCCATAGATACCGTGTGATCCGGTCGTCGAATGGAGTTACCGAATGAATGGTTCGCAAGTGACATGGCAGCATTGATAGTTGCCACACGAGGTGGCCACCCATTCGGGCGACAGAAAGACAAGCTGGAGCCGCGCTGAACCACTCGCCACGTGGCTTGGGGGAAGTCTGTCAGAATGAAACCCTGCTTGCATCTCACTTGGGGTTTTCAAGATTCAGCGACCCGAAGTTCTGGTTCGGAGGATGGTGGTACCGAGGGGGAGGCTACTTGAATGTGACAGACAGCTTCGGCGCCGACAAATGGTAGGCTTCGATGAGACGTACGTCGCTTATGAGCTGAGATGGCTTGTTTTCACCTTGATCCGTTCAAATTATAACTGAGAACGACTTTATGGGATAGAATTTGAGCTACAGACTGACATGGATACGAGAGAGAACAGAGAACTAATTACGCCAAGGTAGACCGTATAAGCGACGCAAGAAGTTGCTAGCCTCAAGCTGCAGCAATAGGCTCACGGAGAACACATAGTCTAGTCTATGGATGGGCCTGGCCAAGTTCCTGTGAAGTCGCTTGTTCAAGATGTCGACTGTGGCTTGCATGTTTTCAAAGATTGGGTGTACAAAACATCTTTCTTTGAGATATCCGCATAGAACATTGCATCACCAGTAGTCGTGACAGCTCCAGCTCCACGTGCCACACAGCTGACTTTTGGTTCTGCAGTCCGGGGGTGTCCCAGGAGGTTGGCAGATGTGTGTGTGTGTGGCTTGCTTTAGGCCAAAATTGCTTCCCGGGGTGGTGTGGACGATGCGTGCCAATCAGAGCCAGTTGCGCAAATGGCATTGTTTAGTTTCATTTGATCTTTTTTACGGCAAAATTGCGAACTGTTCGTTTAGACTTTTTATATTGATATGACCATGGGGTCTCTATATTATCTACGAAAGAAATACCCATGAGGATGGGAAAAATGAATTGTAGCCATATATCCTGATTATAGGTAGTCAACCTCATTCTTAGTCGTCAGAGGAATTACAATTGATCACAATAACAGCGAGGATAGGTTTGGACTTGTGGATAGTTCAGAGTTGACGGAAGGGAGGAGGTGCCTCGGAAATGCCGTCGCGGCGGCAGCCTTTGACCTGCGTGCCTACAAGTATGATGCTACGGGATACCCTGACCTTGCCAGGCAACTCGTGACGGATTGTTGGTGCAGCTGCAGCATCGGCCAGAAAAAGCTTGACTTTGATCAGAGAGGAGAAGTTGAACATCGAGTGGCGCAGAGCGGGGAAGCAGGGAGAAACATCTGGGGAAGTGGCACTAAAACCCCGCACCTCAATTTCTCCGGCAAACTTGAACCGTTCGCAGCCCAGCGTGATCAAGACCAAGAAGCCATCCACATCCGTAGAAACTGCAGAATACCTTGTACCGTACTCGGGTCATCGGGATAATGCGCACGCGCGCCAATGAAACACGCATAAACGCCTTTCCCGACACCGAGCCGTCCCCTGTTTCTCCATTCTCTCTCCCCAACTCCCCACCCCCGGCATCTATGGACCATGGGGAATCTCTCCTCTTCCCCCAAGTTTTTCCCAAGGTCCCAACGTCGTCATCGCGTCCGGTCCGGCAACCATACCCCGGACTTTGTGTCTTTTCTTCCTCATTGCTGTTGGAACGTCGATCCAACCCACCAATCCAAGAAGGAACTTTTGGCCCGTTGTCCTAGCCGGCCCTGTTCCTGAAAGCTACCCAAGCACCAAACGTAGCCAACCACGCGCCAATTGTACCCCGCTCGTCCCATTGGAGAGGGTATCATCGCCGCCATTCTCGACCTCGCCGTCGGCCCAGCCTCGCCCTGCCCTGCTGCTTGTCCGGAGCTGGCTCCCCTGCACCTCACCTCAATTCATGAGCAATTGGATTACCTAGCTAGCTACCTTACACGGATACGCCTACCTTGGGACTTGCTCCGCACGCTCATACCCCGGCTTCCTGCATCTCGGCTCGCCCAACGTTACTTGCCATTGACCGCGAAAGAAAAAGCTTTCTCACGCTACGACTAGCTAGCTAGTCAGTCATTAGCTCGGCCCAGCTTGTTTTGTTTGTCTTCTTCTTGCCGGGGCCAACCACCAAGCACCAGACACCAGACAAGCGAAAGGATTCCACCACCACATGTTCGTCTAGACGCTCCAGTAACATCATGCCGTCGCATCCAATCCGTTGATCGGCCCTTGCTACTGCTTCTTTCTGCCCTCGTCCTTCTCTTCTTCCCACGCGTCCGGGATACGGTGTACCTCTCCCCGACCCGTCATCCCCCTCACCCCAGAGTAGAGTGGAGCTGGTTCTCTGCACTCTGCGGCCCTGCTCTGCCATCCTCGAGCTGCATAACGTAGCTTCGTTGGTCCGATGATCAGAATCGTCCCATTCTTACTGCCATGTGCAAGTCTCTCCGCTCCTCCCGCATGAGGGGAGGAGCACCATTGCCATTGGGATATAAGCTCCCGCTTCATCCCACCTTCCCCTCTCACAGGCTCTGCTGTCCGTCCTCCTGTCATCATCCTCTGTTCTGGCCCGCCGTCCTCTGTGCTTCAATCCTCTGTTACCTTGCCTGGCACACCTACACGATGCGCTCAACATTCCTCCCTGTCGCCGTCGGAGCTCTGCTCGCCCCGGCCACCTCCCTCGCCCAGTTCGTTGGCGGATCCGGTGGTAATACCACGGCTCCCTCCTCGCTGGGTCCTGACAAGGACGGCAAGTACTGGATCTCCAGCGAACACATCAAGGCCGCCTTCATTCCCTACGGTGCCTCCGTCTCCGACTTCATCATCAACGACAAGTACGGCATCCCCCGCGACATTGTCGCTGGCTGGGACAACGCCACCTACTACGAGACGGATCGCCAGCACCCCCATTTCGGCGGTGTCCCTGGTCGCTACGCGAACCGTATCAAGAACGGCACCTTTGAGATCGACGGTGAGAAATACCAGATCGACCTCAACGACAACAATGGCCTCGACACCCTCCACGGAGGCTCTGACGGATGGGACTGGCGCAACTTCACCATTGTCTCCCACACCAACAACAGCATCACCTTCTCCTTCACCGACCCTGACGGAAAGGAGGGTTTCCCTGGCGAAGTGGTGTCGCTCATCACCTACACCCTCAACGGCTGGAACTGGGACTTCAAGATGATCGCCGTCCCCACCACCAAGAAGACGCCCATCATGCTCAGCTCTCACACCTACTGGAACCTCGATGGCTTCTCCAACAACGAGACCAGCTTGGCTCTCAACCACACCCTTCACATGCCCTACAATGGCCAGAGGGTGGGCGTTGACAACATTCTCATCCCCACCGGTGAGATTCTTGCCAACGAGAAGGGCTCCGTCAACGACTTCTGGAGCGCGCCCAAGCAGATTGGTGCCGACTTCTCCAAGCCCGAGCTCAAGAACAACTGCGGTTTCAACTGCACCGGCTATGGTAAGCATGGACCAATTCTTATCGCAGAGTGCACACATGAAAGCTAACCACACAAATATAGACAACTGCTGGATCGTCAACCGCAACGACCTGGGCCCCTACAACTGGCGCACCGAGGGTTACGTCGCCCGCATGCAGTCCGAGTGGTCCGGTATCCAGCTAGAGGTCTACACCGACCAGGACGCCTTCCAGATGTACAGCTGCAGTCAGCAGAACGGCTCCGTGGCCCTCAAGAAGAGCCAGGGTCTCTTTGACGACGCCAAGTTCCCCCGCATCATCCCCAAGTACGGCTGCGTCGTGCTCGAGGTCCAGGACTGGATCGACGGCATCAACAACCCCGCCTGGGGCCGCACCAAGAAGCAGATCTACGAGCCCGGCGGTGACCCGTACGTCCTCCAGGCCAGCTACCGCTTCAGCATCAACTCCACTTCCAGTTCGTAGGAGGACTGCGATTGAGTGATGCTTTGGGAGTATAGTGCTGGAAGGGGGGGGGATGCGTGAAGAAAGCAGGATATTCTATTCACCTTCACATATTTAATGATACCATGAAGAGGGGATTTAGCATGAATGGCGGAATACCCGTCTGGATTAATGAACTTTATCGTAATCTACCTGATCGACCCGATGATTGTGTCTTATGTATGAACTGTTGCTGTAGCGAGGCCTCACCTCGACAACACCATGCTCCTACCCCCACTTCAAAGCCCATATACTACCCTTTTGTGCTGCCACCAAGCTGCCGCATCACCAACACCAGGCCCTTTAATACCACTCGTCACCCCCATACCCACCATCCAACTTTCCCTCCCCCTCCAACAGCCCCAACTTCTCCCTCACCCTCGCGACCATGGCCTTGCCGTACTCTGGCCCGGGAGGCGGCGCGGCTTTACTCCCGTCGTGCCTCAGCCACGGAACCTTTCTCGACGCAGCCGCAACCCCTTGTTCGACGACGGCGTTCTGAAGGGATTTTACGGCCTCTTCATCGAATGCGCCACCCAGGACAATGGCGCGGGGCGGAGAGGCATAGTTTCCGCTGCCGATTGTGCTGGTGTCTGGGTGCTGCGGCGGTGGAGAAGACGTCAGGAGGGCTGGGATGATGAGGGCTCCTGAGGCGGGGGTGGTGATGAAGTGGATTACTATTTGGGGGACTGTGAGCCTCAATTCTTCAGGACTCTCTCATCAATTCGGTCTCATAACTCGATCTCTCACTCTTTTTTTCCTTCTTTTTGTCCAATTCCGGGGGTTGGAATGCGCTGTCTTGGGAGCTTACCTTCATATTCCGGCTTCAGGCCCTCGATGACGCCGCGACCAATCGCCTCTGTCTTACCGCATAGAATGATCGGTATCGGGCCGGATGAGTCCTTGTGATCACCTTCTGTTGCTTTGGACTTTTTGTCGAGCATCTCGCGCAACGAGGGCTGCTGACGCCGCTCTTCGTCTGATTGGTTTAGGGCGTCTTGTTTCGCCTTGTGAGACCACAGCTGCATAGTTGGGGGAAACAGAAGAAGGTGCACCTCTATACAATCGGGCAAAACGAATGGTGCGGATGTGTCTGGGACTTGGAGATTTGGTCTCAGATTTGAATGGAGAGGGGGAGAGCTTTCTTCAATACCTATAAGAGGTTTTGCTTTCTCGTGGTGGTGTGGTTTCTGTTGTCTCACGTCAGACTTTGGGGTAGGTACTTCGGTAGTTTGATCCTACCGCGTTGAACCGTTCGGATCCGGATCCGGGGGCTAGTGAAAGCCGACGTCATTTTGCGAGTAGTGCTTTGAAGGACGGATGTACGGACGGGGGAAAAGGTAAGCCAAGCGGGCTCTTTCGGGTATGGTTATAATCCGTCACTTTGCAGGTAATGTGTAGCATATGAGATGACTTGGTTACGGCAAGTTTCATCTCTCAGTATGCTCTCGTTCATTGTAGTTTAATGGTTACTGAGCAGTGATGAATGCAGAGCACAATTTAAATGTGTTAAATATGTATATTAGTTGTCTTGATATCGTGAAAAAGAGAGTGCACTAATTCGCTGGACGACTTTTGCTATAGGAGAAAGACCAGATCTACGACATAAAACCTGAAGCAGGTCCAATCCAACATTAATTCATTACGAAAGATGATTTCGAACCCAACCTTTAGTTGGCAAGCCCATTCTGCGCAAGGAAATCCTGGATCTTGCTAGTGACCTCGACGTGGGAGTAACTCTGTCATGATATGCGTTAGAAACTTTCTCAAAATCATTTCAGCTCTACAAGAGAAAAAACTTACAAATGCCAAGCCGTGGCCAGCATCGGGAACAACATAAGCCTCAAAAGAGCTCGCATTCTTGATCAGCGGTGCAACGCCGGCCGGAATCGAAGGTAGCTTAGGATTGCCAGTTGCAAGACAATCACCACCGCAGAAAGGAACGTCGCGTTCTAGGAAGGTCCAATCGTTAGCTTACACTGGGCTCTCCTTCCTATGTCAAATGGATAGGCTTCCGCATGTGCTCTCGAGACTTACCACCCGTGATGACAAGAACAGGCTTCTTGAACCCGCTCGTCGTGCCAGCCTCGCCGCCAATGGTGAGCAGCTCACCCACAGTCACCGGCTTGCCCGTCTTATACGCCGCCGTCAGGATGGCAGGGTCAAAGTTATCCGGCGCGAAGAAATTAATGTGCGCGCCGCCCTCGTACGCAGGCGCAAAGTAGCCATCAACGTAGTCGCTCAGCGCGGGAATCTGGTTCGCCTGGATGAAGGCCCCGCCCAGCAAGAAATCCGGGAGGAAGGTGGCGTTGGCGGAGAACCCCGTCAACACCAGACCGTCCGAGGCGTCCGGGTACATGGCGGACAGCGCGTACGAGTGGACGGAGCCGAAGGAGTGGCCGACGTGGACGTACTTGTCAAACGTGCAGGGAACACCCGGGACGGCGCCCGCGCGGAGCTTGTCAGTCAAGGCTTTGAGGGCGGCAAGCTCGAGGAAGCCCTGGATCTCGTTGACGGGTTCGCCGCGGGAGGACTGGGCGATGCCGAGGCGGTCCCAGGCGAAGGTGGAGTAGCCGTAGTCGTCGACGGCGGGGCCGACGTAGCTGTAGTTGTAGTTGTTGGCGGAGAAGTCCCAGTAGCTCCTGTCGAAGCCGATACCGTGGGTGAGGATCTGGAGGACGGAGCCCGGGCCGGAGTCTGGTTGGCAGTAGGTTGAGGCGAGGTGGTATGTGCCTCCGACTGTTGCGTACTAGGCGATGGACAAATCATGTTAACATCGTGTAATGTCTT